TCTAATTAAAAAAATTTATTTTTTATTATTTAAAAATAAAATTATTTTAAATTTTTTATATTTAATTGGTTGAACTCCCAAACCAAACCAGATCTAAAAACTATAATCCCAGTGAATAATTTTCCAATTAAGTTTTTCTCATAATGACATGTTAACGAATTTATCCCCTCGTACATTTAATTGTGTGCTAAAAATCATTGGTTTGTGCCTCTACTATGTGAATTTGAATTTGACCAGGCTGGCAAGTGTGTTTTTACTATTTTTATATAAGGTATTTTTTAATTAAAAATATGTTAAAATATTTTTTTATTTTTAATATCAGTACATTAAAATCATATAAAACATCTATAAAATTATTTTAATATTTACTTACATGAAAAATAATTTAAAAATCAGATTGTAACACAAAAACAAATACTATGGTTCAATTTTTGCTAGAGAATTTTCTTTGTTCATTAGTGTTATCGGATTGACCAAGATTTCACAAAATTCATCGATGTTAATGTCTCTCATTGCTCATGATTTTATCAAGATGAAATTAAATAATTAAAACCCTTTAAATAAAGAAAGGAAACCCTGCTTTTGGAACTCTTAAGAAAAAGAACCTTTCCACATTACACACAAAAATATTAAAATTAATCTTAATAAAATTTCAATAAAAATTAATGATGTTTTAAAATATAAGACATAACTAAAAGATTATTTAATACGTGGGATAATGATTAATTAATATACTCAAATACTTTAATTTATTTTTTAATCTAAAAAATTACATGCTTATAGTAGAAGTTTTGATACTTGTAAAAATAATCTTAATTAAGGGTTTAAACTCAGTATACTTATGAGAAATATATTAAGTGACTTAAAATAATAAATAATTTAAAAGAATATTCAATTCAATAAATAAAAATATATATTTTTTAAATTTTAAGTTAACTAATGTTCTGAAATTTATGTATTTTTTAATATTATAAATGTTATTTTTAGTGTTACTTTTATGATTTTGTGTTAAAAATATAAAATAATTCAAAATAAATTTTTCTAATGTATTTTTAGGTAAAAAAACACATTGCTTCATAATACCAAATATATTTTTAGAAGCAATAAATTAAAATTATTCAATTGGTAGGTTATGTAAAGCAATATAAATCCGATTAAAAAAGAAGAAGAAGAAGTACAAACATCACAAATAAATAAACATGTCTTTTCCATGATGAATGATAAAGTCCAAAAATGCCTTGGATCCTGAATATTATATGATCTTATCTAGTTTAATTTGCGAGGTAAAAGCCCCATTAATGATTGGAGGCTCGTGATCATGGGTGGAGACAACTTTAAACCTTGCAATCAATGTATATCGCAAACCTTAATAATCATAAAACTTTCCAACTGGAGCTAACTCATTATTTTGCCCTTGACATGATGTACGAAGTTCTCACGACAAAAACCCAAGTTATTCGACCCGAAGGTTTGATTTATAAATTAATCGGGTTAATTTAGGTGATTTATTTTTTAAAAATAATTATATTTATTTCTATAAAAAAAATTGATTCATGTCCTGAGTGATTTACTATGTTAACTTTATTTTGAAAATCAAGTAAAGCTAGTAATGATTGTTATTTTTTAAAATATTTTTTAATTTTAAATATATTAAGATAATATTTTTTTAAAAATATTTTTTAATATTAATACGTTAAAATAATTTAAAAATATAAAAATTTAATTTTACATAAAAATTAAATTTTTAAAATTTTTATAAAATATAACCCACAACACAACTTCAAACTACACCCAAATTCCACATCTATAATTACTAGGAAAAGGAAAAAAAATCTAGATTAAAAGAAGTAGGGCCATGATGCATAAGAAATTACGTGACGATGCAAATGACGTGTCAATAATGAATCCTAATTGTATTTTCATCCATATGATAATGACAGCATCTTTCGTTAAATACATATATATCGAAGTCAGTGCTGCTTCCAGCTAAATTTGTCTTCGTATAATTTTTAATTATAATAACATTTTGAAGCTTTTCTATTTTCTTATCATATATTATTTATAATTTGTTTGTCTACAACCGATTCAATCAAATGCTTTTTATTTAACAAGTTTAAATATAAATTAACTAATTACATTCTATATTTACTTCTAAGAAATTACTAGTTTAAATATCATAAATTTTAGTATTACTATAAATTTATATGTTTATTAATTTTAATATCTTGAAAGATTAATAAAAATATTCATAAATTAGTCCGAATAGCCATAATTAACCAAAAAATATTTTTTTATTTAAAGCATGTTTGGTATTGGAATATAATTATGTTTTTTTACATATAAAAAATATAAAAATATTATTTTAATATATTTTTAAATAAAAATATTTTAAAAATAATATTTAATCAACTTCTAGAGTGTTTGATAGTGTAATAATAGTTGTTTTTTAAAATGATTTTCACTTGAAAATATATTAAAATAATATTTTTTTTGTTTTTAAAAATTTATTTTTGATATCAATATAAAACAATTTAAAATAATATATTTTTTAAATAAATTTAAAAATTTAAAAGCAAAAGGGTTGCATTACACAACTAAACTCTTCTTTCATTATAAAATACAATTATAGCGGCATCTCTTGTTTTTTTAGTTGAATTTTACTTGGAAATATATTAAAGTAATATTTTTTATTTTTAAAAATATTTTTAATATTAACATATTAAAATAATTTTAAAATACTAAAAAATATTAATTTAAAACAAAACAAAACAATAATAAAATTTAAAGTTTTTAAAATACTTTTAAAACTTAAAAAGAAATACGGCGGAAGCCATGCCAATGAAGGCAAGCCGAACGGGACGAGAATTTGGCAAAAATCGACAGAAGAGAGGAAAATCAGAAAGGGTAAAAAAGTAAAGTGACCACACACTCCAAGCCAGCCACAGAATCTCCCCTCAAACAAAGGGATCCCACCACAGGATCCTATGTATCCTCCCCACCACGAGACTCGCTCTTCTCCTCTTCCCAACTCTCCTTCTCCCCCCACCCCCACCCCCAC